CCAAACATGGGCTCTGAATCATGAAAGATAGCAAATTGCTACATTCAAGACTACATGTATTAGATGAGAGTAAACGAGAGAGAGAGAGAGAGAGAGAGAGAGAGAGAGTTTCCTCATTGAGATTGACGGTTTAAAATTATTTCACTTTTGTTTCATTGCAAGCTGAATTATTTTCATCTACTATATATAATAATAAAAAATGGCATTTTCCTATTGGTGATTCAATATATCGCAAATCACATAGCCTGCAATAATTTTGTAATTTGCTTTCACGGTAAAGGTACATGTATAGATGATATGCAAACATCCGTATATTACAAATCCGACTAGGTGAAGGGAAGAAAGGTAAAAATATATAGAAATAATGTGAAAGATCAAATTGGTTTTATATACCTTTACTTTATAACAACGGAAAAAATAGCTGATAAATATCACTACATTCTAAAATGTTCAACTTTTTTCCAGAAATAAGGAAAATAAAATAATTATTTAGATTTTTGATACTACGTAGACCATTGAAAAGTTCTATAAACTTATCTCAAATTCAAATTAAAAAAAAAAAAAAAAAGAGCCTGTACATTTATTTCAAATATCTTTGAGGCTGTTTGTTCCACTTAATTGTTCTCTTGGGTGTTAAATAATTCTTCCATTCATATATTACATGTTTATTAGTTATCTGGGTTTAATATTAATCATGGGTGTACGGGGATTTTAATTTACCACGGATTTCATTCCATACACCCTGACGCTGAAGGCTTAAGCCGGGTGTAAGGAAATTTACAAAATAATAAAAAAATATATATTTATTATTATATTATTTTGTTTTATGTGTTTGCCCTTTCTCTTACATGTACATGTACCCCTTTAGAAATACAGTTGTAGACTGTATATGTAACATATTTTTATTTTTCTGGATTTCGTCTTTGTTATCATAATCAAAACCCATTCTCTAGTTTTAGTGTGAAAATGACGCACGCACTTTTTTCAATTACCTGTTCCATACTGAAGACAGTTATAAAATGAAAGAAAATAAGAATTCGCAAATATGGAATATGACGCATTTTTCTAATTCTTTATACATTAATCTGAATTACATGTAATACGGACATGAACATCGCTACTTTTCAATCTATAGATCCAAATCTGTAATAAACTTTTTGTTTCATTCATTCTGTAAATGCGTTACAGTCGACGTTAGAAGAAAAATACATGTAGATAATTCACGTTGATTTAAATAAATATAGTTTCGTATTGGAAAAAATGCGGGCGCTTTACTATAGTCATGTAACTTTATTGATACCATACCTATAGTATCACCTATACATTAAATATACTTTTTAAAGCATAAAAGAATAACACATATTTTTCTAGTAATGTCAATGCGAAAAAATTACTTTTGAGAATTTCATGTACATGTAGCTAATGGTATTTCAGCTTGAGTTTTAAAAAAATTGGAATTGATGTTTATAATCATAATTTTAAGGTCATGCTCTCTCTCTCTCTCTCTCTCTCTCTCTCTCTCTCTCTCTCTCTCGTCCGCTTGGCGCAGAGGTTAGAGCGTTTGCTCTAGAGTCGCGGAGTGAGGAATTGATCCTTACGTCGCGGGTTCGAATCCCACTGTGGGACGTGGAGACCGATTCTTTCGATGAGACCGTATAAACCGAGGTCCGGTGTCGCAGTAAGTGCTGGCACAAAAAAGATCATCACTACTCAATGGCCCTGAGTGCCGAGTATAAGTCAAAATTTGCAGCTCCACACCGGCAAGTGTTGGCGTCTCTATATGAGTGAAAAATTCTCGAGAGGGACGTTAAACTATAAACAAAAAAATTCTCTCTCTCTCTCATTCACATAATCGTGATATTATGTGAACGAGAGAGAGAGAGTATTTTTTTTTTTACATGTATTGTAAAATGCCTTCTCTCACGGTTCCAAATCATATCCCGAGAAGAAATGAAACGAACCTCCTCCACGAATATACCAAATTAGTTAAGTCACCTCAATCATAAATACACCAAATTAGTTAAGTCACCTCAATCACAAATATATATACCAAATTACTTAGGTCACTGCAACCACGAATATACTCAAGTCACCTCAATCAAAAAATATACCAAATTACTTAAGTCAACTCAACCACAATATACTGAATTACTTAAGTCACCTCAATCGCAAATATACCAAATTACTTAGATCAACTCAATCACAAATATACCAAATTAAGTCACCTCAACCATGCACAAATAAGTTACGTCAATCACAAATCTACCAAGTTCAAGTCGTTAATTCATTCAAAACCATCTATTAAATATGTAGTAAATGAGGACAATGTAAAATATTTACAGTATACAATTCAGGTCAGAGGTACAAGTATTATAATAACGATATACTTATTCAGGAATGAAAGTGGAGGACAAAAAAAAAAAAGAAAGATAAATACCTACATGTACATGTATAATACATATATTAATTGTAAATGAGGAAAACATCATGGAGGCCAGACTAATTAAATCGTATATTCTTAATATAAACAGAGTTACCAAACATACCAAACTAGTTAAGTCACCTGAACTACAAATATACCAAATTACTAATTTAAAAGTCACCTCAGTCACAAATGTACCAACATACTAAGTCATTTTTAAATTAAATACATTTTCAGGATCAGTTTTCTTACATGTATACAGGTATTTTAAAAGCTTAAATTGATAGATACTTCAAAATTTTTGATCTTAGACACGATCGTTTTATCACAGTCAAGACGTTATTGTCCATTTATCATTGTTTTAATCTAAATTTTACAGACAATTTTAGCTTTTATACGCGTTATCATGATCAAACCCCATTATCTAGCTTCACCTGAAAAGTTAGCACGCACCTATATCGATTTTCTCTTCCATATTAAAAGTTATTAAATAAAAACGAAATATGAAATCGCAACAAAAAAAAAAAAAAAAAAAAAAAAAAAAAGAAAGATGACATATTTTTCTAATATTTTAAGAACACGTATTAATTAATCTGAATTTATACCGGACTTGAACCAAAATATTTTTTTCACACTATATTCTCCTTTATCAAAGTCTGTATTTCCTGTTTGCTATGAAGTACACGAACATTTTATGAATGCGTTACAGTCGATGTTTGATTCACTTAGTTTTAAATCATTTAGTTAAGTACACAGGTACTTGTGGACAGGACCCCTCCCCCCCCCCCCCCCGAATATACCCCACGGGTCAAAAAATATTTTTATGTATTTTTTTCATAAATTATTCTTCTAGTACACATTTACAATGTATTCCATAAGAAAAATAAAAAAAATAACGCAGAATTAACGTTTTACTAAAAAAATCATACCCGCGGTATTATAAAATAGAGAAGGTAAGTCACTTCCATTGTTTACTCTTGACCCCTCTTGGATATCAGGCCCAAAATATCATTTACCTAATACATGTCACCAAAATGTGTCATGATATCTTGTTTCGGTAGATATTTTTGTCTTTAATCGTTCTATTTAATTGCCCAGGCATTCCATAATAATCCGAGTATTCATCGTCAAACGTGAAAAATGCTACAAGATTTGGAAATGTCAAGGTAGAAATTACGGAAGTGATACAAAAACGACATCTAGCGTGTAACTCTCGAGTTCCGAGTGTTATAGAATTAAGGGAAAAGTCAGAGGTCTACGAAAAAGTTCGGGAAAATTTTGATAAAGAGGTCGAAATTGATTTATTAGCAATAAATTCTGCTTAAGATTTTCGAGATGAGCGAGGGTAGTCGTCAATATTCCCTTTAAAGGATGTTATCACTGATACCAAATAGCGGTTTAAAAATCGCTTAAACATTATAATCTTGACATGTAACCTCCACCCCCCCCCCCCCCCCCCACTCCACCTCGGCCGCCTTCCCCTTATCATGTTGTAAATTTTGAATTTACACATGACCGTGTGTTCCTAACACATTTTTGCACTATTCCCACATCAAAACATTTCCTATAACCGTTGTTAATAGCCCTCCTGGGCCTGAAATTAAGAGCATCCAAAATTTCGCTTGTTAATACTGCCATTTTGGGTGGCTAGACAATTCGGCCAAATGCGCTTCGTAAAGATGTCAACTACAAGAGTAGTTGATAGACGTCTAAGGATTTTTTTGAAATCGAGCTTTTGTGCAGTTGAGGTAAGAATTTGGAGAAATAAATCCAGAACCGAGCGCAACTTTTTGTGCGCAATAAATATACAGTTTTTTTTCTATGGGTGGCACTGTAGCTCTCCGTTTTTCTTTTTTTTTTCGGAGAGCTACAGTTCTGCAGCTAGAAAATTTCCACACTGAATATGCAGCAAAAAAAAAAAAAAAAAAAAAAAAAAAAAAAAATGTACCTCCCACTGGCTCCCAGTTCCCCTGGTACTACGGGCCTGTAGAATTGAGAATCATATTTCTAAATATGATGGTGCAATAAAGCTATCAAAAGGCTTGATCCACGAAAGAAAATATTAAGAGATTAAGAAAACACATTGATAAGTATATCAATTCGTTTCTTTTCTTTTCAAACGGAAATCTCCTCCAAGTTCGATTTCGAGCAGGGACATTCTCAAAATACTTGAAGAAATTTAGGTCAACTAAAACATATTCGGATGCCTGTTGCGTGTAAATTTTTATCAGCGTTGCTAATTGACAAACAATAATATCGAATCCAATTAACATCTAAATTTAGCAATCTTACAATGTTTAAAGAGGAACTGCAATCGATTTTTCATGGAAGGTTATAGCTTTTCCGATAAAACTTGGACAAAAACATCTAAAAAATCTATATACGGAGCTTCATGAATGAACAGCGTAATTTCATTCACAAATTTGGATATCTAATGTATGTGACAAATAGCAGAGCTATCAACCAATTGTTGCGTGCGTAACCATGGAAACTAGAGGTGAGGATGACGTATGCAGATATAATGAACGCTGGACCTGACACATCAAGCAGTTTACGAAAGGATTTGCTGTTGAAAGGCTATCGATCAGAAGACGATTCTTACGCACAATACATTAGAAGAAACCAATCTTGAAATTCAAAGACATTTTAAGGGGGCACCTGTCCAACACCTGCACGTAAATATAAATCGCCAAAAGGATATCGGCGAAAATGAGGGGAATTGTTATTCTAGCGTGTATTTGTGTGGCATGGGGTGCCCCGACCGGCGGCAAAGGTAGGCGGCATATTTTTCTTCTTTTTTTAACAAAAAAATTTGAATGTAGGAATTGGAAATTAATGTTTATTTCCGTTTGCTGCAACATTTGTTTAAAAAAAAAAATAACATGTGTATACGTGATTTTAATTTTCAAATTAAAAAAAAAAAATAATAACATTTGAAAATCCTCCTTGAATTTCAAAAAAGTAAATGAAATGAACTGCTGTCCAATTAAAATGCAGATAAATAACAGTATTTTTGCTGCTGTTCATAAATTTATTGATGAAACATGTAGATTTTCTTAGTTGATATGTTAAATTTATTTGTATCATTTGTATTATTCTTCTTTAATTTGCATGACATATTGTATTATATAAGGAGAGGAACTAGTAAGTTATTTTAGAACTTGTTTCCAGTCCTATTGATTTAATCAATATAATATGTTCAAAACAATTAAAATGCAAATATTTCTAATCAGGATACCTAACAAGCTACATGTATTATATACAGACAATTTAAAGTATCGCTATTGTTTTCACAGTGTGGAAAGAATGTTTGCATTTCTAAAGTGTTAAACAAACAGCACCTAATTCGTTATTCTTGTTCCTGTATACACAAAACTTGATCATCAGCTGCAAATAACAGGAAAAACAGCCTACTGTACAAACTGATATAAAAGGCAAATGATGATGTCTGAGATACAAATCCTTCAATTTCTATGCTTGTTATACAACATGTACAAGTTCGAAGGAAGCAATTTCAGTTGGGGGCGAAGAAGGGCGAATTAAAATAACTTTGCAAGCAGAAAAAAAAGGGGAATCCGACGTTATTTTTTGAAGGGTCACAACCGTTGGGGGTTTTGTCTTCTATTGTCAAGTATATATTCTCCCTTTCATCTTCCCCTCTCAATAGTCCTTTAAATAAAGATATAGATTATTTTAATATGCTTCCTAATACTTGTTTCGTTTCAAATGCAAGTATTCCTTGAAAACATTTTTTTTTTTCAGGCATACATTTTTCTTCACATGTTTGTGTAACTTGCGACATTTAATTTGTTTGGTAGTTTACACCCTATTTATATCTTTAAGCGTTTATCATTAATCCCTTTGTATGATATTTAACACGTATTATACTTCGCATGATTTTTTTTTAAATACCTGCGTTACAGTCCTAGTGAACTTGATCTTGATTTCAGCCAAATATTTTTAAAAAAAAAAAATCCTCTAACAGTGTATCTTATATTCTTATTCTGACAAAATATACAATCTTGATATTAATTAGCAGGTTTATTGAATTGCAAACTGTAATTAGCCTTCAAATGGTTCAGAGTTCACATAGTTTGTGGCCTTGTATTTTACCTTTGACCTTACTAAAAGAAAAAAAAAAGTCTGCCCTATATATCTTTTTGGTCAATATTGAGTTTTTATATCAAGCTGGAATTTTCTTAGTTTTTCCAGAAAGAAATCATTTTTAATGACCTCAGATATACTTACATGTAACAGTTAATAAATGTCACATTTGTACCAAAAAGTCAATCTTTGATACCTGGCATGCTCGTAAACTTTTCAGTGAAAAAGAAAATAGACTTTAACCATGAGACCATTTTTTTTTTAGGTTAGTGTATAAGGGTAATTTTTAGTGATCATCTTCAATATTTTTGGCATGATTAGCCATAATCTTAGATGCGCTAAAAATACGTCGCTAATAACTTATAACTAAGACTGTCCCCGACAATGAGCAGAGTTATCCCTAAAATGAATTATAAATGAACACTTTTATGATAAAATCTCTAAAATTGCCGGTCGCGAAAATAACGTCTTATACAAGTACGTCAGCGTGTTGTGTTAAGGAAGACGGTATATACAGAGTTATAGTATTTTGCAGTCTTATAAACCTTTCGAACTTTTCTGCTCCGCTCCTAACCAATTACTAGTAGTGAATTAGGGTGCCCCTACTTAAGGGAGACCATGTCCGCAAAGTCTTTGTGTAACGTTTTTGAAAACATTACAGAATAATATAAATTCATATAAACAGTAAAGCAATAACTGCTACAGGACCTTTGGAAATTCATGTCCAATGTAGTTGAACCTTGGATAAAATCAAGATTCGAAATCAATTCATCGCGACACGTGCGTTCTATTGAACACTATAGCTATCAAAGTAGGTACGTGCATTTTATAAAACATTTATTTCCCATGACGATTTTTATTCAAATATGGTATTCTTTGAAGAATTCTTGGGTAATAACAATTAACGACCATGACATTTAAATATGGGATTTCCTGAAGATTTCGTGGATAGTAATATTTTTATAGGGCAATGACATTTAAATAACAGGCTTAATATTGACGCGTTATCAAACTGAAATATTCTGACGTCATTTGAATACACCAGATGCAAAGAACAGATGAAAACAAAAGCAATTGTATCAAAGGAAAAGTACTGTATTTCATAACGTACACAGGTATAATGTTTCTCACAAGATTAAAAATAGGATTTGTATGCAATTGTAGCAGTTAAATGTAGTATACCGGTAATTCTAATATCAACTATTTCATCACATGGGATTAATTTAATTTATTTATATTTATTTGTGTCTTACAGATTAAAATAAATTTTAATTTTTTTTTAATTGTGTCTAATTACAGTAAGAATTGAAATTTCTCAATAATGTTCACATTTTCAAATCCCCGTATCTCGCAATGATAAAGAAGGATAGGGATAACCATTTTATCAAACATATCAATTTGACAATCGATACACAGTTTCAGTTCTCTTGATTTTTTAATTATGGCGTACATAAATCTGGTTGCTTTTTGCGTAGTATATTTTTCGTACTGTAAAAAGAACCAGTTCTTGAGAAAAACACTCCTACGTATTTATTTCAATAATATTATTATTAAAGGTAAATGCTACATTAAAAATGCAGTGTATATTAACACGGTGAGCAAGAAATAAACTGACCAAATAAGCCGCTCTTAGATCAGAAATATAGTTTCATGGGTGTTTTCTATATAATTTTTCAAAAATAGTTTGCACTAGTACTAAAGAATTGATGATAAAAAAAATTGAAAATTAAACATTTAATAACATTAAGTTGATAAAATGAATTTTAGAAAAATGGTTAAAGCTTCTTATTTTACCACACAAACACTTTACGGGCAGCAACCCTTATCCAGACCACTGAAGTAGTTTTTTTCGTAAGTCCTAACATTTTCCTTCTGGAAGATGGAGATTAAAAGAGAAAGAATCAAGAAAAATTAAGTATAAGACCTGGATTTAATTTTGAGTCAAGTACAGTTGAACCTCATTATCTCAAACTTCGATATCTAGCTTGAATACAATTCATATATCTCGGTGAGATAAAAAAAAAAAAAAAAAAACAACAACAACAACAACTTTTTCTCCTAGTTATCTCGAATCGTCGGATATCTCTTTTTCTTTTAATCTTTTCCATCGGGTTCGATTTAACGAGGGTTGACTGCAATTATTCAAAAAGAAAAAAAAAATACATGAAGACAACAGTTCGTGTGTTTATGGTAACACAATCACATGTAACGAGGAGTTACTGCAATTATTGAAAATAAAAAAAGAAAATAGAGATATGAAGACAAGAGGTAACACAATGTCATGCCGAACTGAACACTTGAAATTTTTGTAAAAGGGATCAAAACTACGTTCTTTTGACAGATAGTGACGACATTTTATTTCCCTTTAAATTTTATTTCCAATAATTTTATAAATACAAGTCGTTAAGCTGCCAGAAACATCAATTCCCCTTCACATTTATGATTCACATTTTCTTCCATTCACGTTACTAAACACGGGTTCAATGTGCAAGAACTCAGCGGGGTACCATATACAATTTAGTGTAATGTACGAAGATAATAAAACTCTATTCCAGAGAAGTGTTGTGACCTGAAAAATAAACCTACATTAGTAGGTGAAAAGTATATAATGTTAGACGCAAAAATTTACCTGATCCGTTGAAAGCTAGGGAATTAAAAAATAAATAAATAAATTATTAAAATATAAAGAGGCTTTAGGTATAGGGAGTGGTATATAATTCGCGTTCACAAGTCCTGAAAAGAGATGTAAACGAATTCATAAACAAGAAAACAAGATACCTACCCCCTAAAAAGGATACAACGAATTCCGTATCGACGATAGAAAATCATGGTGAAGCTTTGATATTGTGCATTCCGCACTGAGGACTGGAATTTCGAGTGAAGCTTTAAAGATGGAAGAGTGTATTGTAATCCACATCCCAGCATATGGATTGCAATCGAACATACTTTCTTTCTCAAACAATAGATGGCACGCGTGGATCTAGGGGGGGGGGGTGTATCTTGACCCCCCCTCGGAATTTGTAGAGTTATTAAAAGTATATACTTATTCAATTCAAAGATGACTTTGGAACACCCCCCGCCCCTAGAAAACGTGGTTCCCTCCATCACCACCACGAAATAGGTTTTTTTTTTTTTTTTTTGAAAATAGATTTTAGTTTTTGTTTGTTTGTTTTTGTGTGGGGGGGCTTGTAAAGAAATTTCTGGGTTGGAAATTATTTGACTGTGTGGACCCCCCCCCCCCCTCGCAAAAAATTCTTGGATCCGCGCCTGGATGGTACCATCTTCTAATAAACAAATGAAATCTTGTCTCCTTTAATTCATTTTGCAGATAATTTAATAAAGCACTGTACTGTATTAAACACTGTAAGTGATTAATTGTATACTGTACATGTACATGTACACAGAAGCTATCTTGAAATTTCGGGCATAAGAAATCGAACTTCGCTAAGTAGATATACATATAACTAATTCTATAGGAGTGTTAATGTGATAATTAATACACGTTGGATTTGTTTTATTGTAAGCAATATAGCGTAGGTTTTCTCGCGAGAACTGATCCTTAAGAAAAGCCATAAGAAAATGTTTAGGAATAATTTAACGATTCTGTTTAAATGTCAATTATCTAATATAATTACAGAAGTTTGTAGAAGATCCTGATGGATATACATG